CACCATCCAGAACTAACATGTTCTTTTACGACTACTACTACTACTACGACTACGACTACGACTACGACTACCACTACCACTACCACTACCACTACCACCACGACTCCTGCTGCTGCTACTGCTACTGCTCGCAAAGGTACCTCCATGCACTTTCAGAGACAGGAACAACTCAGCACCATCACTGAGGCTCTTCGCAGAAGCGTTGAGCCGAGGGGAAAATCCCAAGGACATTACGCAGGCGCAGGCACGGAAACCCAAAGTGTAGATGAGAATTTGATGTTGGATTGGCTTGAAGTGGAACCATTTGTTGGCCTTCTGGCGGAACGGGCCCTTTAAAAGGGTGTCGCAATCCGTGTGGATGCAACACTGTAGGCGGTAATTTGAGAAAATCCAAACGTGTGGCGATGGTCTTGCACAACCTCACAACAAGTCAAATAGGTATTTGTGGTTGTTCTCTACTTGTTTTACCCTGCTGCACTTCGTCCTCTACTACATTTCTTTAGAAGTCATGTGGGTCGGCAACAACACATGCCATGTGTGGTGCGCATATGTTGAGGTCTCAAGAATGGTTTGGAATCCCAACTTGTTATCAATGGTGGCCAAACGGATCTATTTTGGTTGCAAATTATGGCTAAGAAAATCGTCAAATTTGGGTGTCTCCTTCCTGTATCTACTCAACCGACACATCATCACTCCCGAGACTCCAACTCGGGAAGAAAAGAACACGAGAACTGCTTTTGGATCTGACTTACTCATGTTGCTATATATGAGATGCCATAGCTTCAATGCAAGATGCAGGGACGAGTTGCAACAAAAGGGAGTGTTCGAAGGTTTATTCATGTCAACGATCTAAGAAACGCATCATTTACCGCAATTCTGGTCCATCATGATCCCATTGGTTCTTGTCGTTTTGATTCGGAGGCCGACGAGGCAAGAAACCGCATGGCCAGTAAGATCCGGAGCTTGGCGAGGCGATCGAAAGTTTCAACGGATGGCTGATCGATGAAACCACCGAGGTGTATGCCATAGACGTCCCGGAATAGAATGAATTTCAAGACATGGTTGAGAGGAACTAGTTTTTGATCTCTTTGATGGTTCTTTGATTGACAGACCGATCATGATTAGATACACTTCTGAGTTACAGACGAATGAAGTAGCTGAGTGTCACAGAATCTTTTGAGTAAGTTCTCCCGGTGTATGGAAATTACACAGGCGACGTGTTCATGACCAGAAATTGGTAGCCCATTGATGCGAAGATGCAATGGGTTTGTAGGCCAGCGATGATCAACATTTCTGTGCTGGGTTTTGATGGCAGCTATAGCTTGGAGAGCACCAGTCTCCGCTTGGGCATGATTTCGACCGGTTCTTGGAGAGTGTGAACCTGCCAAACAGAGTGCAAATCAGTTTCTGAAGGCTGACTTGGGGCAGTCCTAACTGATCATTAACCTCGGCTCAAACCAAAGAGTTGTGCCTTGGTTCCTCCACCAGCACACCTCAACTGCAATAGCTGTCACCAGATGGTAGTTTCCTGTCGCCTACTTCCTTAGCAGATGCCTGAAGTAAAGTGCTGTTGATTGAAAACTGCCATTGAGTTGGAAACGCCTTGCATGTTCTCGGAGCCCTGATGACTCCACGTAGCCGAGAGCAGGTTGATGTAAAGGAAATTCACGCTTCAACTTCAATGGCCTTTCATGTGCTTTCATCCTCCATGTTGTTGCCCGCACTTGGCGGAGGCCTTCGTGAAAAGATAAAGCACGCACATCGCCTGGACCGCCTGGTGTTTGGACTTCCAGAGGAATGTCGAATTGTCAGGGTGGCATGTTCCATCATTGTCCCATGTTTTCCTTTTTTGTACCTTTGGAATCCTTTGGACCTTTCTTTTCCTTTGCCCAGGGTAGGCACGTGTGGTTTTTCCATATGTTTGATTCTTGCCTGTTTGGGCTGATCGGATTCCACCGATGTCTAGAGTTTACGAGCGAAAGTCATTCGAAGGTTGGAGGGTGCAACAGCTCATGGATCAGCTCACTGTCGTAGGCATGACACACACTCTCTCTCACACGCACGCACAAAACCTTTGAGAGCCCCCTACTAAACTCTGAGATGTTTGGGCGTCTCTTGGGATCAGCTTCTGAGATAGGGTCAGAGGCACATACTAACGTATCAGCACTTACGGGCAAGAAAAATCTTTTCGGATTGGAGACTGAAGCCCTAAACAGCCCATTTAGCCCCTTGGCTTACTTGTGAAGCACAAATTCCACACGAAAGAGTCTCACTTGATTTCACCTCTTGCAGAGGACCTTAAGTCAGGTGAGCGCCAACTTCGAGAACTGGTTAGTGTGTCTTAATGGCTCTACTGGTAGTAGCATTTAGTAGCGAGACCTAGTAGATATCTATCAGACCCAAACAGATAACATCAGATTCTTCCCATTCTTTATCATTTGGAGCTTGGAGACATGCAAGACATGGCCAGCCCGAGGAAGACTAAGTCGTTCAGATGTGAAAGGCATTGAAAGGATAAGATCAACTGTCGCTTTAGCTGTTTGGCTTGCAGCCAACTGTGGGCCCAGAACAACTCAGCTTCTACTAGCAACACAGATTAATTTCAACTTTGTTTGGCACCACTCCCTATCACCGAACGCCTCAGAGATGCCATTTGGTTTAGATAGAACTCAATATGAACAAGTCTACACCTGCACTCTCATTTTTGGTCCGCACCGATTTTTTCATGCACGATGTTGTCTCTGTTTGGACACAAAAACAAAAAGAACTTGACTTCACCACACCACCATGTCACCGCCCAAAAGCATTGTCCAGCGTTACACATTGTGCGCATTGCGCCCGTGTTGCCCATTGGGGTGAAGTTTCATGCGGCGGAGAAGTGCTGCGCAAGATGAGGCGCCAGAGGCAAAGCTAGAGGCGGAGAGGCGGGCAGAAACGCGAGAGAAGGAGAGGGGCAAAAGAAAGAGAGGAGAGAAATGGTGGGAGATGACACGCGATAAGGAAAGATGGTGGGATGAGTTGATCGGAGGCGAAGTGATATTGAAATGGCCCAAGAGGGAATGACTTGCGGAATAAAGCTAGTGTTCCAACAACGTGTCCATAACAAGCGGTGAACAGGAGTCCTCACCTTCAGAATCTTATGATGATCCAAGCTGAGTCACTGTGCTAATAGACTCCTGCCCCCAAAATGATTCTGCAGATTCCCAATATCAAAGCTTACATGTTTTCTGAGGTTTTTTGTAGACAACTGTGACCCCTCTCTATTCTCACGAGCCACGGGTTTGGCATTCCAAACATGACCGCCCCAGGTGGCGGCATTTGGCACTGGTTCGCATCAGTCCATCCACCAGCACCGCAGTTGCATCCGCCGCCGACGCTGCTATCGTTTTATTTGGACAAGCTATGGCTATGTGTGTTTTTGAAGGTACTGCTGATACAGAAGCGCTAAGAGGTTCCGCAAGCAAGTGATATCAAGTGAGGTCAGTGATGAAGGAGGACATTTGTGGGATAGTGTCTAGATGTGTCTAGAAATATCGAGGGAAGTATAACTAACTTTGTTCTTGCCGTCAAAGACCAAGTGGAAACATGGTTTTCTACAGCTGAGCGTGTCATTTTGTTGGAAACAGTTTTCAACGTCAACATCGTACAGCCTCGGATCCCAAAGTGCTGCTCCAAGATTTCAATCTCCTTTGCACCTGGGCAGCGTTGCTGGTGCTGATCACCGGCTTGGCAGAGTGCTCTTCCAGCACAGCCTATGGCAACCTGGCTCGGAGTTCATGGGAGATCCACGAGGCCCATTGTTATTGCAAACGGTGCATTGTATTTGACTATCATATTGATGGTGAATATCGATGGAGGAATACCATTCCCAGAAAGATGTTGTCACGCAAGGTGTTGCACATTTGTGAAAGAGTGGAGGCGGTGAGTACTGCACAGGTCTAGACCCACCAGGAATACCCCATTGAGTTTTTGCACTGCTGAGCGAACCACCAACCACTGTTGATGAAGGAAGCCCTGCAACACCGGGTCGCGTGCACAGAATATTGTATGTAGGGATATGTGACATAAACATGTGTTTGTGCATTTTAACAGTACTACAGTTTGTTTGGCCCCGTGCTTGCAGGCAAATTCGGCAACGAGAGCCTCTTCTCTGTACCCCCTCGAGTTGGTTGGTGGCTGATGGATCCTGGGCTCAAAATTGCACATGTCAAAAGAGGGCCCAGATATTTTAATCTGAGCCTCCTTCCCGAATCCCAACTTCCAATTCTGTGTTCCTAAGGGTGGAGGCTTGTATGGAATCTTGATTAAGCTTACGCGCAGGTTGAGCAGGTGCGGTTTTGCGCTAGTTTGTTTCGAGGAGTTACCTGTCACCATCTCCTTCCTCTACTCCTTCTTCTACCTTCCAGGGCCTCAAAAACAAGCCCTGGCGCCACGCATTTGTGCAGCAGTTCCTTGCTTAATATGGGCATTGGGCAGAGAAGCTGTTGCAAAACGCAGCCGTCACTAAATTGCTCTACTACCAACTTGGTACGCTTGGTGGTTGTGCGGGTGGCAACGTAGAATAAGTATAAGTAGGCAGGCATTGGAGACTGCTGGCAACACTTCGCAGACCTCAAGTATGAGAAAGGATGCAACAGACCATGAGAAAGCTGACAGTTTGCAAACCAAGTCCGTTTTTGTTGGTACACAAATTCTCTTTGCACAAGAAGCAACACCTCCCTTCATTTATTTGATTCCTCGTCAGAGACCAGTGCGCGAGGTTATGTGTTTGCACTACAGCTACCGTGGCTGGATCTATCCTTACTTGCTCCGTTGCTTTGCAGTTGAATTGGGATCTGAAAACCGAGGTGTTTGAAATGATTCAAGTGTGCTTTCCTCGGCACAACAGCACAAAACCTATCATCCCCAAATCAGTTGATTGCGAGCTTGGTGTCACGCTTGATGTTTGAGGGGTCGTCTTGCTTGGGACTTGTATTGGGCGCATTACTTCTAGTGCATACAGTCACCAGACTTGCTGATCATCACAACTGGTGGCTGCGATGTTCTCACGCAAAAGAATCCCGTTATATCATTTAGCGATATTCAACGTTTTTGTACCATATTGAAACCGAGGCATTTACCAAATGACTCCCTTCATGTGTGTCATGTTTCCATGACCCAATCGTTTTCTCACAGTTGTTCTGTGACAATTTAGGACCGCACCCGGGTGCTCGCAGCAACTTCTCGCTGATGCCGGCGCTGGGTGGCTGGCTGGTGACCATCACACATGGATACCTCAATGGGAGGCCACCAATCGACGGGATACCGACCAGGGTCAACGTTAAAAAGAATACAGAGCGAGAGAGAGAGAGAGAGGGGGAGCTCTATTTAAGTGAAAAAGATGACTCTCATTTCTCTATACCGGAACAACTGTCGTAGCTGTTTGTGCAGCCTTGTGATCCAATTACAAGCCTTTGTGTCATGTTTTTGTTTGTGCACACTGCTCATTGCAATCGATTTGCATGAGTGTATTGGGTGTCTCTCGGAAACCATGTGCCTTCACCACCAGCCGACAATCACCGGAAAACAAATCCACACTGAGCTACTCGCACCAAGATCCACAAAAAAGTTGCTGAACCAGCTAATGCGCAGCTAGATCAGGGAGGTTCAGGTTGGTTCACTGCTTTTGTAATGGCCCAGATCAGTGGTATCCCGTCACCTAATTATATAACTGAGTTTGCCAACATGACTCCAGATCTAAGTGGTTGTGTTTTGGTTTCAAGTTTGCGTTTAGGCAGGAAAGGTCAGGCCAGTGAGCCTTTGAGAATCGAGTGGCGAATTTGCGTTGGAAGAAAACCCGACTGCTTTAACCACCCCTCCAATGCAGGTGGTTTGCAGAGTTCGGGCTTCATTTGGGCAGAGGCTTTTGCTGAAGAGGACCAAAGTTTGGCAGTGGTTGATGCATCTCAGGTCTCACACAGGTCCCCTGCAGCTCATGCACTGCTTTTTTGTCTTTCCTGGTAGGTTCGTCCGTGCTGAATGTTTTGTGTGTAATGAGATTGATGACTGTTTGGGCTAGCTGCTAGCTGCTCGAGCGGCCCGCAAGGTTCTGAGGGAGTAAACAGTAATTAGCAAATCCAGGTGGTGCGTGAAGCATTTGAGAAGCTCTATGACAAGGTCGTTTGCCCCAGAAAACCACTAGAGAGGTACTAGCTACTTTGTACTGTGTTCTGGTGTCCCTGCGCCCGATCTGATGTAGACAAAGTGACCACCCCAAGTTTGTTTTGGAGCATCACAAAACTTAGTTTTGTCTTCTTGGAGTAGCAAGACATCCTGTTACTCGCTTTGGCGGAGTTGATTCACATTGCCTTCTTTTGTCATGTTACCCGTTTTTTGCAGAGTGCCACCATAAGCTGGGAAGTGCCACCCATAAGCTGGCAAGCTTCCCGGTCAATTCCAAACGCAAAACCTTTAACTGCTCGTTTGAGGAAAGAAATGGCTCTCGGATGTGCGTGTCTCAGCTCTGATGTGGATGCATTGCGATTTTGTTGTATTGGTTTGCCTGGAAAGAATGGAAAAGGACCTTCATCGTTGCTCCTGGTGTGCTGGCTGTTTTGGCCATAAGGTGCCTTTCCCCGGACAAATGTGCACTATCAGCTATCGGATAATATATTACTTTTGGGATTTGATTTCACTAGGGCTCTCTTTGCAGCTGCCCCTAATCTTTTGTGCAAGCTTCCTCGTTCCCCTCGCTCTTTATTCCTGCAAGTCTGTTTTGGCTTCAATGAATTAAGCACAGGCAATCCTTCAGCTTTGCAGAGTTTTACTGTAAATGGTTTGACCTTTGAAGAGGCATATGCGGCATGTACGACAAAGCGTGTTTGTTTCCAAAAAAGGATTGTTACGGCATTTCCTCTGAAGTGATGCAGAACCAGTTCATCGAATGTGGTTTAAAGGTTGCCAGATCAGTTTCACCACCCCAGGCTTCCTTCTGGGCCTCCTCCTCTACTTCTCTGGCTTTATCGCATTGGCGCCTGCGCCAAATCATAGGGGCCGCCATTCTCAATGAGGCATAAAGCATTTCATGCACTCGCGGTACAGTTCTAAGCTATGCTCATCCACACCAATGAAATCACAAGTTGAGACCCATAGACTCGGGACCTCACTTTGTTCATCTTTGGGATTTTGATGGATTTTGAGGTGCAAGGAGCACCAGCCATGGGGTATGGCAGCCACTCTCACATGATGCCAAGTTCAGGCAGACGAAGATTGACAAGAGCTGGTTCTCAACCTTTGACTGGTCCCTTTTCTTTATTGTTGAAGGGTGTCAGGTTTCATGTTTCAAGTGCGGAGGTTGCGCACAACATCTCAAGGGCGGGCCTGGTCTGGCAACTTCTTCGCATCCCTCTACGACTCTACATCTCCATAGCTCAGTCGCGTCAACCTCCAAATAACCAACAATCAGCACAACAGCCCCCAAATCGCCGTCCGTAGGACTGATCGCCATCATATGAGGCACAAGCTTTCTGATGCTTAATGAAGTAGCCTCTTTACAGTCAACCATTGTTTGCTTATATTGCTGCATGCAGGGATCGAAGGTCAGTTCATAGGCAAGAGAAGTCTCAAACTCCCCGTAGAAATCACCTTTACAAAACCGACATCGAAGCTGAAATAGCATGCTGGGAGTGCTGGTTCAGGTCTACCACGACTACCTGATGCGTGAATTGCGCTCCAGTCCAGGTCCCCGAAGCTTGGATTTACGTCCTGTCAATGGGGCCCAGTGATAGAGCCTCTCTTCAGTACCACTCTAGGTCCAAGCTCGTTCTCCAGGAAACGCACGTGTCATCTCTTCTCATGCCTCTTGTGACTCTTGTGTCTCTTTGGACAATCTCTTCGCATGGGAGTCACTCCGGGCGGATCCTTGGATCCTGAATTTTCAACCGACTCGCCTGTTCGCCAATGTCTCAGGATATAGAATACCCCATGGCGGCCTGTTCGACTACGCTACGCAAGCAGTCTATTTCTGCGAGCTGCTTGCTTGCACAAAGACGTGATCAAGGTGCTGGCTCTTGCTTTGAGCAGGTAGAGCTTATCGTCTTGTTTGCCACATCACTCACGAGCTTGAAAAAGCAGGTTACAAGGGCGATCTTCCAAGTGTCTTTTCGTTTGCGGAATCTTGCGTATCAACATAGATCCATGCACAGGTGTCTATAGTCTCCTTGAAGCAAATGCAGCATTGCGGGGTCGTGGGTTGGGATATGCTGTTTTGCCAGCAAGAGAACGGTGTTTTCTTCACCAATAAACTAAAAGAGTTGCCTTGGCAAATGAAAAGCCACGGCAACGCCCTGACAAACAAAGTTAACACACAGACTTTGCTTGCACAGCACTGTTTGCACGGACGAGAAGATTGTTGGAGTTGAAATTTCATGAGCACATGGCATGAAGGTCGACCGCCGTCCGTTACTTTCACCCTCAAATCACCAGGGATCCCTAGAGCCGCCGCGAGAAAGGTTTCGTGCGAGTTTGGTAGCGGAGCCCTGCACCACGCAGGGCTCCCGCGCGCCATAGGCTGTTCTGCGCGGTGGCTGCCGCGCTGCCTGACCTCGACCTCAGGCCACTTTCGAGAACGAGCTGTAAGACCAGGAACACCACGACTCTGCTTCCTGGCATCCGTTTCATCAGGCTTGTGGCGTGCACTTGCTTTCACTTCTACCAGCTGACGGTAGACCACCACGTGATCCAGAGAGCCCTGCGCTACCCGATTCAGGTCAAGAAGACTGTGAGGTTCGAGCTCGATCGCAAGACGCTTGCCTTGCAGGACACCCACCAGTTGCACTACTACACGACCCTGAAATCGGAGCAGTACAGGACCTTTGCCTGTCCTTCAGCATCGATGGCGACCTTGCCGTCGACAGGAGTCCCATTGCAAGAGTATCGCAAGGACTGTCCGCCCGGATGGGCTCCTGGGATACCAGATTATCCCCTTCGTCACTATTTTGACAAGCTGAAGCTCTGGTATAGGATCTATGACGGACCTGACGAATCAGTCGGACCATTGGTAGCTGGACGCCTTCGAGGAAGAGCTCAAAAGATAGCTTTGAGCCTTCGTCTCATCCGCCCCGACGGCAACTATGACATTGGCGACAGCGCTTTAGTCCGACTGTCAGTTGACGAAGTCCGTGATCCCATGGATCCAAATGTCATCTTGCAGCATCACATCCAGAGCGGCATCTCCGCCTTGGCGACAGCTCTTCGTGCCGCATTTGGTCAGTCCGACCAAGAGATGACGACCACCGCCCTGGAAGCTTTCCTTGAGCTTCGAAGAGGAAAGATGTCGCTTCAGGACTATGCGGCAGAATGGGAGCTTCGTCTGGAAGAGGCTCAAGTCCGTGCAGGCTTGGAGCTCAACAACGTCGCCAAGACCTACCTCTTCTTCCGCAACAGCGGACTGCCTGTGAAGTTCGTTGCGGATGTGAAGATGCAGATCCATGGAGATATGAGCAGGTTCGATGAGGCCCGACGACTCTCTCTTCGCATCAGCAGCAGAGGAGATCAACAGCTTTCCACCAATCTCTATGCCTCATGGTCGACAACACCACCTATGAAGACTACTACCAGGACAGTTGGGATTCTTGGACATGGGATGGATGGCACGCCCCGGACGTGTACTATGATCAATGGGTCGACGACCATTGGGCTGACTCTGCATGGAGCTATGACGCCTGGATGAGAGAGGGAGAAGAAGAGGAGCTATGGCATGATGCACAAGACACAGCTTCCGAATGGCGCAGCCCTGAACACTATGACATGGCCGCAGGAGATGAAGCTGAAGAAGCACCTGCCGTCGAGGAGTACTACCAGGGCACCAATGACGGATGCTTTGTCTGTGGCTCCAAGTATCATCGAGCTGCTCAATGCCCAGTGAACCACGGACACTCCGGTCCACATGGCAAAGGATTCCAAGGAAAAGGCAAAGGCAAGAAGGGCAAAAGCAAAGGCTTCGGCAAGAACAGAAAAGGCTTCAGGGGCAAGAGCAAAGGCAAAGGCAAACCCTACTACTACGACGACTACTATGCCTACCGACGCCAACCTGACCATGGACTCTTTGCAACGAGTTCACCTACAAGGTCATCCTCATCCATTGCTACCAGCAAGACGATTGCGCAAGAGAGTCCACCACGACAAGTTGGCGAGCTCTTTGCCTGGCGAGGATCAGCCCCTGCTGAGGAAGAGAGTGTCACCACACCAAGCACTCCACCTGCTGATCCAGCCAAGAGAAGCCTGAACTTTGCGACAACATTGCACACCTCAGCGGACGTGTTCCACACCGTCCAAGGTCACAAAAGACGAGGACTTCTCATTGATCCAGGAGCAGCAGCCGGCCTAGTTGGAAGTGAGACTTTGAGAGACATCATTGAGCACTGCTATCCCAATGCACACCGAGAAGAGGCAATCACATGGTCTGACTCCGATGCCACCATCGCCGGCATCAGTGGACAACCAGACAAAGCTCTTGGCAGAGTTCATTTGCAGCTGCCACTGAAGGACATGAAGGCCACCTACACGGCCGATGTCATTGGGAATGCAGGCTCGCTCTGCCCGGCTCTGGTTGGCAATCCTGCTCTATGTGAAATGAGAGCATCACTCCACTCCAGATGGTTTTGACAACAATGATGGCCTCTTGGTGACTTGGGACACCAACAACTCAGTCAAACCAGAGATGCATTTGTTTCGATGTCTTCTCACTGATTCTGGTCACTACCTCCTTCCTTTGGATGAGCAAGCTGAAGTACCAAGTCAACACTATGAAGCTTGCCACTTCATTCGACATCTCTCCAACGTGTCGAAGACCAAATGGCCAGATCACGCTTACACGTTCTGGCAATCAGTGACTCAGACCGAGGCAGACCCGAAGCAGAAGTGGAGATCCGATGAGCCACACAAGATCAAGGACACCAATTCTCCAAAACGGGTGTCTTTTGGCTGACAGTGAGCTCACGGATTCAAAAGAGGCAGATGACACTTTCCCTGAGGCTGAGATTACAGAGGCTGTTGAGAAAGCTTTAGATAGCACATCTGAGGAGGCAATCTCTACAGCGATAACATCATCTAGCCCAACTGAGGAGTCAATGACCAAAGCGATGACACCATCCAGCACATCGGAGGAGCCTATGTCGACAGCAACTGATGAAGTGTTTGGCACTGGTTTTGACAAGCTTCCGCTGTATGCAAGAGATGATTTTCCCTCGCATCTCTCTTCCAGTGACCTGACGCGACTTCACAAGGACTACAGAGCAATGCCGGAAGAATACTACACTCGATCTGGCAAGAGAGTTGTCACACCACAGAACTTCAACACCTGGCTTGGTGAAGCACGTCGCAAGAAGGTCAAGTGGCATGGTTGGGAACTATGCTCAGGCTCTGGTCGCTTCTCACTCCTGCGCGTCTTCGCTGGTCTCACGATGGGCTTTCCCGTGGACTACCGCTATGGTTGGGACATTGCACATCCAGATCATCAGAAGATGCTCGACCAGGCCTAAGACGTGCTGCCCTGACTTCCTACTATGCTCACCTCGCTGTAAGTTCTGGAGCATCTCATCATCAAGAAGAGATCGACAAGAGCTCATGAAAGATCGAGAATCAGAACGGCCAGCTTTGGTCTATCTGCAAGACAAGATGTACCAGCAGACCATTCGTCAGAAGATCTACTTGCTGGAACACCCATGGAGCTCAGCATTATGGACTGAAAGCGTCATGACTGAGAACAAGACCTTCGTGGGCCATCGACGAGCCAAGCGCACTGATCAATGTGCCTTTGGAGCGTGTGCAGAGAACAGGCAACCGATCCTGAAGGCTACTGGTCTAGAAGCCAACTTCAAGCTGAGAGCTAGTCTCAAGCGTTGCAATGGTCATCGAGGAGTACCTCATCTACCACTTCAAGGACAACACCGAGGAATCTCACGGACTGCAATGGCTGCCGTCTATCCTGTGAGATTCTGCCGGGCGATCATTGAGGACATCCTCTACCATCTACAACCGCGAGGCAGCTTTCGACCCAATCGCTTGAACGCCCTCACCAATGTGGAGATCTTCTACAAGTGTGAGCGATGCTCCATGGGAAGAGCTGCCCTACCATTCATGGAGCACTCCTTCATTTCTGGAGAATGTCGCTATGGCAGACACCCAGACAAAGCACCAGCGACACCAAGCATGGCAGCTAATCCACTGGAGGACTTCAAGCGAGCAGCAAAATCTCATGCATTGGCTAAGAAGGTTGAGCTCAACTACCCCGAGGACTTTGACTTCACTGCGGAGGAGGCAGTGTGGATCAAGTACCTCATGTGTGAGATCATCAAATCCAGTTTGGCCGTCTTTGATGAAGCCAAAGGTGAAGACTACATCTACTGGCTGACCGATCCATCTCTGCTGATGGCCGTCAAGCATTGCCTGAAGAAGATCACGCATGTCCATGGAGTACATGTGACACTACATCCATTCGTCAAGGCTTTTCCAGAACCACACCTCTCAGCAGAGAATGCGCCACTTCGCCTCATTTGTCGTGGCACCTGTGAGAGCTGGCAACTCTATGCTCTTGAGGATCTGAGAGAACTTTCTCCAGCTCAACAACGAGAAGCCATTGATGAAGAGAATTGGATGATCACCTTCTTCGGCAACAATGTGCCGCCATCGACGAAGGTTCCTGGAACACCTGGTCCCGGCACACCAGCAGCTGCAGCACCATCCACACCGAGACCTGCTATTGCTGATACTGTTCAACCAGAAGAACCCGCTGCACCTTTGGCAATACAACCATATGATGAAGTGGGCACTTCCAAGGCAATAGAACTGCGCACCATGAAGCCCCTCTACAGCATCAAAAGAGTCCTTCATCGTCTACCGCAAGAAGTAAGCAAGGACACTGTGAATGCCAAGAGAATGCTGCTTGGTCTTCATGAACGACTATGGCATGCCAATGCGACAGATCTGGCGAACTTGCTGCTGAGAGCAGGCATGCCTCCAGCTGTGGTAGAAATGGCTCATGAAGTAGTTGCCAACTGCACGATCTGCAGGAAGTACTCACGACTACCTGCACGACCGAAGAGCAAGATTTCATTGGCTGCCCATTTTGGAGATGAGGTGGAGATGGACATCTTCTATCTGTGGTCCAAGCCATTTGTTCTCTTGATCGACGTCGCCACCCGCTACAAGATCGCCTATGAGACACCGAGTCGAGAGACGGGCGAACTGCTGAAAGGACTTCTTCACAGATGGATCTCCATCTTTGGTCCTATGAGAGTTCTGACTTCGGATCAAGAGAGCGCCATTATGTCATCCACAGCTGCCATTGAGTTTGAACGCCTTGGAGTGACACGCAATCCAAAAGGAACCACTGCAGGAGAAGCTGGACGACAACACACCGGCACTGGTCTAGTGGAAAGACATGTTGCTTTGATCAAGCTGACCATGCAGAAGGGGTGGAGGATTCTGATGTGGCCACCGAATCAAGCATGAGTCACAATCTTTGCTTGACCTATGGAGGCTATTCTCCATGCATGGCAGTGTTTGGAGTGGTTCCAAGAGCATTCTATGAGTTTGAGACCCCACAGATGACTGCAATCACTGGAGCAGCAGATCGAGATGCCACTGTCTTCGAAACTGCACTAAGGCTTCGTCAAATTGCCCTCACTGCAATCCAGCAGTCACTGGCTGAAGATCGCTTGACACGGGCCACTCTTCACCGCTCTCATCGAGTGGATACCACTGAGCTTGTTCCAGGCACCAGCACCGTTGAGATCTACAGAGACGCAGCATGGAGAGGTCCAGCCACCCTTCTTGAAGCTGATCAAGAAGAAGGAACTGCCATTGTCAAGCACCAAGGAAAGCCTTACCTGATGCCACTACGATTTGTCAGGCCATCGAAGGGCGTCTTCTACAATGTGGACTCCTACACAGGCACCAGCCTATACAAGCTGATGACCATGACAGAAGAAGTTCAGCCATACAAGCAGATGGTTGTGGGCTACAAACGTGTCCTGACTTCATCTGGCATCAACTGGCAGAGCATTGCACTACATCCAAATGAAGAACAACAACAATTGATGAAAGATTTCGCTGACTGGCAGAGCTGGACTCAGCATCCGATCCACGGACTGGTTTATGGTCAGGGCCTGAAGACTTTGACACCTTTTCCAGGCACTTACGGCGCTGTTTTTGTCTGGCAGAAAGGCACAGCAAATTTCGTCAAGATGAACAAGACCAATGACCTTCAGATGAAGCTCAACAAGATCCATGAATCACACTGGGACTCACTGTGCGTCATCTACTTGTACCACTACCCCAATTTCATTGAGGATGAAGCCAAGACTACTTCAGAGATGAAGGCTGAGTCACACAGCCTACCCAGTGTTCCTCATGTACTACCAGAACCTTCTCAACGCATGGAGTTGGAAGATGAGCTTTCATCGGTCATTCCACATCTGCCACAGAAGAGAGAGGACAAAGCATCGCCGGTCCGACTTCCTGAGCAGGAGCCAAAGAGAAGCAGATTGGAAGGCAACTTCACGATCGTCAATACCAACTACCAGAATCTGCACACTCTTCATTGGCTCATGGACAGACAACGTAAGCATCGACTGCACACTCAGGATCTATGGGCCGACTACTATGAGGTTCCAAAGTGGTTCGCTGGAATGACGTTCCAGATGGTCATGGAGAATTCCCAGAACAAGCACGAATACAATCTTCGCACCAAATGCTCCAAGTTGGTGGATCAGTATGGCAGCAAGCATCGGACTTTCTTCATTGAGCTTTCTGCCCAGGCTGTTGGAAGCTATGCATCAGTCACTGCAGAAGACAGCATTGCTGAAAAGGACCTTCCGCCAATTTGGCCAGAGGTCGAGATTGCAGATGAGAAGGAGATTGCTCAGTTCGTCAGCGAGAAGGCCTTTGTGAAGATTCTTCTGGAATCAGTCCCCGCGGACACCGTGATCATAGATGGCACCTGGGTCCGCAGATGGAAATGGAAGGGCAATCAGCGGATCATCAAATCCCGCATGTGTGCCAGAGGATGTTTCGATCCTCAGAAAGACTTCCTGGCCACTCGATCCACGACGGCATCACGATTGTCACAGAGAATGAGAATGTTGCTGTCAACTGCCGCCGTAATGCGTGAAGATCCTGAAAGCTGGGACGTCAGTGGAGCCTTCCTCAAAGGATTGACCTTTGACCGCATCAGAGAGATACTGCTGAAGCAAGGCATCAAGTCTCCAACGAGAGCAGTGGTTTTGATTCCTCCATGGAATGTTTGGCGCCACCTGGCTACGGCAGATCCAGAATTTCATCTGGAACCATGGGAGATTCCACTGTATGGTTTGCGGTGCAACAAGCCCATCTATGGATTGAATGATGCCCCTGTTGCTTGGCAGTTGGGTCTTGGACAGTTTCTCCAGCGAAACAAGGGTCATAGCAGCAAGTTGGACGACAGCTTTTACTTCTGGAAAGATCCTTCCAGTTCGACACCTCTACAAGGAGCGATGACCACTCATGTGGATGATCTAGCTGTTGTTGGCTGCTCAAAGTTCAAGGAGGAGCTCTACAAGGAGATGTGCAAAGAGTTCGGTTCCATCTCACGAGAACATTTGCCATTTCAACACTGTGGCTGTCAATATAGCAAGACACCCACTGGTTTGAAGATGGACCAATCCACCTTTGCATCGAAGCTCAAGCCCTCAGAGAATCCAGAAGGGTCTGATGATCGAGCTCTCACACCTAGTGAGCTGACGCAGTTCCGTTCAGTGCTTGGAGGATTGTTGTGGCTGTGCAGCACAAGGTTAGACATCATTTCTGAGGTTGGCATCCTGCAGAGTGTCGTAACCAAAGCAAAAGTTAAAGATCTTCGTCAAGCCAACCAGTTGGTCAAGAAGGCATGCACAGCTGACAAGCTGAATCTTGGGCTTCATTTTCGACATTTTCCTCCTGATGTTGGCCTTCGCATCCAATGCATCCACGATGCCAGTTCGGCCAGCAAAGGAAAGAGCTATGCCCAGGAAGGCATGATGATCCTCCTCATGCCCGAGCTGCCTGACGAGATCCTACGCCAAGATGACGTCACATGTTCAGACGAGGACATCGCCAAAGTGTCTGACTATGGCCACCTCTTGTTCAACCACGGAGGCAAAGCCAAACGAGTGTCTTACAGCACCTCACATGCTGAGACATTGTCGGCCATTGGAGGCCTTGAAAGCAGCAGCATGGTGGCAGTTCGCCTCACTGAGCTATGGATTGCGGATCCCAATCCTTCACTGCAGACGTTGACGCAGTATCAAGAGCAGGGATCCTCACTTTTCCCTGTAGACAGTGCAACAGACTGCCGCGACTTCTTTGAGCTGGCTACAGGTGAACGTTCAGTACCTCAGGACAAGCTTCAGCGCTTGTACGTGCTTGCGTTCAAGGAGGCAAGAGCGACTGGCAGGATTAGGTTCCTGATGTTGACTCCAAAGGTCATGAACCCGCCAAAGCTTTTCCAGTTCCTCAGCACCGGCTATGTTGAGTTTGGCAATGTCACCAAACATCCAACGTTGATGCGCCGCTTGCCCGTACTTCATGAACTACAAGAAGAAGATTTGTTCAAAGATGACGCAAGCCTTTGGAAGGAAGCCTATGAGGGACGATCAAAAGTCTCAATGCAGAAGACCGCGATGCTTGCTATGCTCGGCCTAACGGCCAAACCTGTGACAAGGACTTTGTTGGCGATGACCGCCTTGACCTCACAAGTTCACGCAGCAACCTCAGAGGCACCAGAGACCACATGGGGAGAGTCATGGAGCTTTCCTTTCTTCATCCTGCTCACCTTCATCCTTCTGAGTACTTTGGAGTACCTGGTCACCTGCTTGTGCCGTGTTGCGATGAAGTCAATGAGTCCACCGATGGAGACCATGCCTACCTCGCTGAATTCGCCTACGGCAACTCCGATGACAAGGAGAATGAGCAGAACGCCTGAGAGATTCATGCCAAGTCCCGGCATGGAGCGAACTTTGAATCTGGAGGAGACGCGAGCCGGAGGCCCGAAGCCGAGGAACCAATCGAGTTCCTGAGAAGATTTGGATCACCAACACAGGTGCATGTTTCCACCTTCGACCGAATTGCAATGGGCTCAACCATGGAAAGCCATTTTCTAAGAAGATTTGCATCCATTGTTCGAACCATGAGGGCAGAACCCAAAGCAGCAGTGGAGTTGAAATTTCATGAGCACATGGCATGAAGGTCGACCGCCGTCCGTTACTTTCACCCTCAAATCACCAGGGATCCCTAGAGCCGCCGCGAGAAAGGTTTCGTGCGAGTCGAGAAGATTGTTGGATATGAAGTAAGCAGCTCTGGTCGAGTTCATCGCTTCATCAAGACCATGACAGTGAGGTTGTGGACCTGGCTGGGTTTTTTCCTGATGAGCTGGGGGCCCAATGGCCTCTTCATCTTCTTGGTCTCCTGCGCCAATCTCATTCCGAGGAGCCAGACGAGGTGCAAGCTACGCAGCTACGTAGCAGCTAGGCAGCTAGACTATGTCCCTTTACCAATGCTCGCCCTTTGCTTCAATGTGAATTCCTGAGGGTGCAAACAACTACACATTGATTAACGCATCCAGCCAATTATTTGCTCCATTCAAGTAATCCCTGTATCTTTTGACCGAGATCAATTTCAGACTATTCTGTGGCAATGCGACAAGTGGATTTGGCGCAGGAGCGTGGCCTCGCATCAGTGGTATGTGAAGACCTTTGGACAGGAGACACTCGGATCTATCGTGACAAATGTATTCTGATAGCATGCGTCCCTTGTGGATGTCCCATCCTGTGGGAGCCCCATACTTCAAGCCGTGGTTCGGAAAGATGTGACGGTATGTGAGGAGTTTGTGGGCACATCCAAACAAACGCAAGCAGCGACACCACGGTACGTGAGTCCGAAGAGGTCTTGAGCGACTAAACTTTAGGTGCACACTCTCTGGGCTCACGCTACTTTTTTCCGAGAGATCCAAAGATATGTGTATATCCTGTGTGATTCGTTTCGATGCCAACGCACTGAGGTACGAACAGCTTCAGCGAGCTTTCTTAGTGCCTTTCATTTGGTGAGATGATGGTCTTGGCGAGCCGCTCCAAAAGAGGTCCTTGTGTTGGCGCTTTGCCATGGCAAATAATTAGCAGGCTTTGGGTGCCTGTCTCAGGAAGGGCCATTCCCAAGCTCGAAAGCCCACCTTTTGGAAGTACCAAGCCGCTGACCACGCCTCTACCCATCCTGCCAGGCCACCTTGCCGATGGTTCCATCGCCTCCACGGCCAGGGAACAAAAGACAAAAGGAGATGAAAGGAAGAATTGCAAACAGAACATAAGAAACCCCAAGCGCTGCTGAGTACCAGAAGCATTGATATGCCGTGTATGGGGTGCTTGACACATTGTTGCTGGACACGTGCCCAGTGTGCCGTTCACCAGCTGTACATGGTGTGCATATGGGATTTTTATGGATTTTGTCTTGAATGAACCCGGTGGCCTGTTTGGTCACTCCTTCTCAGGTCTTGTCAAACCTACATGCTAACATATGCTAACGCATAGAAAAATAAACTTAGCTAACCCTTTGGACCTTGGCAAATGTTTTCCTCCCTCGACCGAAAAAATACTGCGAGGGCTACACCTCGGGCTGCACCTCGCCTGAGCCGGGGACCTCGCCGGAAGTAGCTGCAGTGGTGTGGTGGGGAGTCAGCGACTGAGCGAGCTAAGGTCGGGTTCAGTGCGGTTCACTTCGGTTTTTCCAAGGGGTGTCATGTTTTTTGATGTTTTTTGTGGTTTGTGTTGTTGGTTGGTTTGTTCAGCTGCATGTTATATCAAACATTTCGGAAGTTGAGGTGTCCCATCACAGTCAAGAGTCAAGTGAGTGACAGGAGTTACTTGACTTGTTCTGGCTTCCAAGCGCTGGTTTGATGGGGCAATTCTGTTTGGTGTGAACTGAGAACCCTTTGGACTCCTCGGTTCTACAGGCACACGTTCCCTCAAAGCTCAAAGCCCTGTTTATTTCGTGACCAAATTGCTTCGATACGCATTGTCATGTGTCATAGCCAGTAGCTATGGCCATGTTGAGACACGTCGAGACCGCCCATAGAATCGAGCGAACACATTGATGAATTCAAACTCCACGACCCTATAAGGGACGTCTCAGTCTGAGAGGTTGGCCACGCTTGACCGTGTTCAATTGGTCGCCCCATCCGCTGCAAACAATATATGGGTCGAATCAAGTTGAAAATGATACACCTTGTAAACAAGCTCGTTGTTTTGTTGATACTTCCACCGTGCCAGGATGTACATGAGTTTAATCTACCATTTGTGTCGACAGAAGGACGAAGTTCTTTCTTTTACAATGTGAGGATCTCATGCGATCCTACTGTGTGGGAAATCAAGAACGATCAAGAAGGTATCACACTGTTGACAAACTGTCCACTGCCGCCTACTCCGTCAGTTGAAACACCAAGGAACACATATTGTAGATGTAGGGAAGGTATTCAGATGTATCCATTCTCTCTACATGAAGGTGACCCGGAATCACTTGGTGCATAAGGAAGCACCTGTGCAATATGTGTGTGTGATGTGTATAGCTGCCCTAGATTGACAAGCTTTTCTCAGGCCTCAAAGTCTCAAAGCACCAATCACCCCGCCACCGATAGCCACCACTCAGCACTCGAAACGGAGCTCATCGGCTTGTCCGAGGTCGCTCTCGTGGTCGTTGGAGGGCTTAGTTGGAACCGACTCAGTTGGACCATAAAAGGCATCATCCAATGACAAACAAACAAACAAATGCGTTACAAAAACACTACCAGATCAACGTTATCGTTGTGTTTAACAAATGTGGAAAGGGTCTGGATTAGTCTCAAGATGCTATTACCGTTACAATGATTCGGGGGCTGAGAGAATGCAAAAACAAGACCGGCCAAGAATGAGCATTTGGGGGATGCCGTTGCCACCTTTGTTGGATCCCTTTTGTCTTAGAAGTGCTCATGAAGTGCTTCACTGACTCTGACTCTGAGGGGTCGAGAAGTCCACAAGACCCACAATCCTCCGTCCTGTGAATATCCAATGAGTGGTTTGTAGGATCTCAAAGTCTTTGGGAGTTGCTCCCATGAGGTTGAGATTGAACGGTTTGGTCTAGTAAGTGGATGGGCCGTTCAAGATGCTTTGCCTTGGCTCCTTGACCCTGGTTGAACTGGATAGGGAGCTTTATAGAGAGCATCCAAAGATTCAACAGCCATTTGGGATGTGGAGATGTGGAGATCAACTCCCATCGAAAATTTCTAAGAGCAAATGTGCACCAGTACGTTTTTAGTGGGTGTTTTATATAAGTATGATGTGCACATGACTATTGATACAAGAAATCCCATTGTGAGGAGTCCGCATGCCCGGTCCGTGCTCAACTGCGGAACCATCTTGCCAAAATGCGTTTTGGTAGACAGATGTACTAGTTCCAAATACATGTTACATCATGTTACAGTACATGGCTCTTCAAATTCTGCTTTTTCATCCGAGGCCCAGTGAGCGTGTGGTGACCATCAATGACCTCGGCTGCTTGGCCGATGGTGTGGCTCTCCCGACACAAAAAAGGATGAACACCTCAACAGTTGTTTCAAAAACTCTCGAGCAAGATGTTAGAGTACCCCCAATGAGTTGAAGTCGAACATGTGAGAGCGCTCCAAGAAATCCTCAGCAACAGTGCTATGTACATGTTTCCCACCCATATTGGACTCGAGCATGCTTAACCGATATACACTTGTGGAAAATGTGGCTACTGATCGAAATGTGTCGCGTTCTATTTCTGGCAAGGTTTCACACAGTTTCTCCTTTTTGTCAGGAAAAAAGAACGCGTTCAGCATTATATATATAATATGTATATAATATAACATAATATAATATAATATAACATAATATAATAAGATATAATATAATACAATATAATATAATATATATATATATACATATATATAATATATAAACATATATATAATTGCAAACGCAGTGGTAGCTGGAACCTGGGGTTTCTGCGGTCACTTTTGACCATTGCGTGCTCGGCTTGAGCCAAGTTTATGGCGTCAGCTTTTGACCAAGGTGGTCTTCTCGAAATGCACCGACCACATATTATGTTGGTCAAAAGGTGCTTAAAATCATGAAAACCTCGTGGCCACCTCCTCGCTCTGCGAGCTTGCGCTGTAGCGCGGCCCCTTCTTCCAAGATGCTCCACTTTCCGGAGGACATCACTTCTCTAAGAAAGTCACCTCTGGTGTCTTTCGTGAGGGAGTCAGCTAACATAGTTCGTCCATCCACCCACCGAACTCGGCCGTTCATCTCGTGGACCTCCTGCTTGATGAGTGAGATGTCGATGGACGTGCGTTTGTCCTCACATTGTGATGCCGGGCTGGTGTCCTTGTTGATGGTGTCAAATAATGACTTGGAGTCTGTCACGCAGATGAAGGGGAGGCGTGCCACCTCGGTTTGCCACTGACGAGCTGAAAGGGTCAATCCCTTGGCTTCAAGGATCAGGACCCTATACCAGTGAACTGAACCTAGACCTCGAACCAAGGCCTGGGTCTCGGAGCTGAGCGTGTTGACCGTTCGCCTTTTTAGGCGATAGCTTTTCCAAGCTGCCAGGGTGACATTCTGCAAGGATTGAGACTCTGGTAGGTCTCGGTCATAGAAGAAAGTGATCTCTCCCCCTTGGCTGTACAACTTCAAGAGCTGCTCGTAGCCCCCATGGATCAGCTTTGCTTCTAGATGGTGTCCTTGTGGTTGTTTCTTAAAGGTGGTCGACCCCGTCCACGGTGAAGGTGCCAATGAGGTTATACTTGATGAAGATGTCCACTCGTCCTGGAGGACGTTCTTGTTGTCATTGATCTTGATCTCAGTGTATCGATCAGGTAGTAGATCGTGAAGATCCGGTCCACCTGGCGCAGCTGCCGGGTGAAATCCCGTGACTCTAGGAATTTGATGGTGTCGTATCCATCGGTCTGGTAACTCCTCCCACCAGTCTGTCTTGGAGTCCTCGAGGTATTGTCCAAATTCTCTGGCATTTCCCCAAGCTGCATCTGTGACGACTCCGGCGTGGAGTCGTTCAAGAGGAATTGGCATCACTCGGATGCCCAATTGTGGATTGTCCAGAGCTTCCTTGGCGATGACGTTGGCCATGAGAATGTCCCGGATCAAAGGTCTCGGAAAAGATTGTTGCACCAGTGCTATCTTTCCTGCAAGGTCAGCTCTCGTCTCCTTGGCTACCCAGGCCAAAGTGCCCAGTAGTGCTCATAGTTGTTCAATCTCCACCGGGGTACATTGGGAGTACTTTCTGCGTTTTCGTTCTTTGGTGATGGGCACTTCTTGTACTCTTGCCTTGACGTAGAACTCCTGGTCGATCCTGATAGAGCCGTCGGTAAGAGGTGTGAAGTCCTTGCCGACGAATCTTCCTTGTCCCCAGGTGTATTTCCCCAGGGTATACCTCTTCCGGAGGGTTTCCATCCGTTCCATGTGTCGTTGAGTTCCTCCATGAAGTAGATCATCTGTAGCCAGAGCAACGATGCCCTCGATGGAGTTCAGGTCCTCTTCCTCGTGGTTCTCCACAATGTTCTCCTGGTCCAGGAAGAAGAGACATGGGTCAACAATGGACTGACGATATCCCAGTTCTTTGGTGAGGTACTTCACGATATGCTTGAACCAGGCGGATGGACCATCTGTGAGCCCATAGCAGGTCTTCTTCAATCTGATCAACTGATTGGGTTCCACCCCAGGAATTCCTTCTCGTGGTAGTTCTGCATAGAGTTCTCTGTTGATGGCATCTCCACTATGAAATGCCTGGGTGAAGTCTGCATATCCTGGTTGCCAACCCTTAGATGCCAGGATCTGTGTGGCGAACACGACCGAGTCCCGATGAACTTGTGGGGTACTGGTGTCCAGGCTGAGAAGGTCTGGTTCACTGAACCCCATCATTACATGTCGACATTTTGCTTTTGTTGGACCCTCACTGACGTTGGAGTCTAGGATGATGTCGGACGACTTGGCATCCTCCAGGGCGAAGTCCTCGATGGGCTTGCGCGTGAAGACATAGCGAG